CACTATAAGCGAATAAATAACCGGTATCTGAAATCCGGTGATGTGATTGGTTTGCGAAGAAACTCGCCGCGAAAAAGTAGAACCGCTTCTTTATCTGTTCGCGCGAATAAATTCGCCTAATGGAAAACGGGCTTAAACAAAATGGATACCTGAAATATATCCTGACATCCAAATATTTTAAGTGTGATGTCTACACATATGCAGGTATATATTATGTAAACAATTGAAATAGCGCGCGAAGCAATTTATTCTGGCGCCGAATCGATGTTCCCGTCTCAAAAACGTCTGTTCGTTCTTAGGGTACTGTTCAAGCACTCTGTAATTAAATAATAATATTGCTATTGGAAGCATGTCTGGAGTCTGAGTGTCTGAGAGTCAATCTTTGTCTATCTAAATTGAGATGGCTTCAAATCCATTTGATATCGATCTTGCGTCTCGCAAAGATCTTCAAGTTCGTTTTTTATGCGAGTTTCAGGCAGTTAAGATTATATTCTCCGTCGCGCATACAAATTTTTGAAATTTATAAACCCGAACTAGATGATTTCAAAGTATTCAACGTGATAGAAGTTTACTTGACGGAAGCATTGAAAATTCTTCTCGCAAATGATACAAAAACGAGATGAAAACTACCTTCTTTGCAATGGCGTAGCCATCCCGACGAATTTTTTCCGCTATGCAAATTTCAAGTCATTTCTATTATGACATCGATGACATCAATTCTAATAAATGCAAGCCTAAAATTTCTCTCTTGGTCGATGTTCCCTCGATGGTAATAAAAGTAGTAGTTAAACTGAGATCTGAACCACATTAATGTAAAATCCTCATCTAACAAACGTTACAAATTCGCTTCGTCGAGATCATCTGAGTAACTTCGAAACAATTTTGAGACTTAAGGCTGGATTTCCACTTCCAGCGAATAGTTGCTAGCGAAATATTTGCATATTTTCATTTGAAATGCATAGAGTTAAACTGAACTAATGTAGTTATTCCGTCAAAATTCTAAAGAAAATATGCGAATATTTCGCTAGCGAAGTATTCTCTGCGGTGGAGACCCACGCTATCATTGAAAGCACTATAATTTAAAGTCTTCTAATATTATCAAAATTTATCAAAATTTGCGAAAATTTTTCCCCATTTTATTTTCAGACATGAACGGTGAAGCGAATATCCAACGGAAATCAAAAAGCGTTGTTTTATGCCGATCAAGGAAGCAACCAGATGGCAAAGAAATACAAGGACTCGTCTTCGACCATCCTTCCATGCCGAAAATCGTCACGGTCTCATCTGTTCCTAAGAAATCCGGCGAAAAAGTACGTAGCGGGGAAACAAACCCTACCGGGGGAAAACGACATACCGGGGAAACGCACCTTGTCGAAAATAGTTCCCCTACCGGGAGGAAATATCCCACCGGACGTCCTCGTCAGAGACGATACCCCGTCGGAAATTTGTCCCTGGAAAGGTTCGATACCGGGTATTCCAACCAACGGGCAGCAACTACGCAACATTATCCGACCGTACAAAGGTCCCCTCCAGCGTTGATTCACACACCAAGCCGTTATTCAACAGAACAGCGGGTTATCTCCCCTCAAACGGGAAAAACAAATGTTCCCTCTCCCCCCTTTTACAATGGCCGTCCAATTCCTCCTACGATATCCAAAGCGCACAATATGCAAATGCAATACCCTCGACACGCAGCGAATCTATCGCCACGCACGCAGGAAGCAACGATAAGGCGAAACTCCACCGGCACATTTCGGTCCCATCCGGAAAACGTCGTCCCACTTCGGCAGAACATCGTACAGCACCCGAAGAACGCCGTTCAGTATCAAGAAAACATCGTACTAGGCACGCAAGATCTAACACAACATCGGCAAAGTATCGGCCAACAATCGGAAAGCGGTATCCAACTTCGTCAGAACGTCGTACCGTACTCGGAAAACGGCGCAAGAGCTCGACAATACGCGCGTCAGTTATCCATGCCGTCTTCCACAGATAGATTCTCAAGGGACTTTCATCTAAAAGTTTGGCGCCAAAGTCACGATCGTGCTGCAAGGGAATGGTATCCACCTGCTTCCGGGCAAGAACAACCCGCACACCAGCCACTGGCCTCTAATCATAATCTGGAGGTACTCCGCCATCGGTCATTGTCCACCGGTTCGCATGAACGACCAGGTCTCGTCCACCGAAATGAAATGGTTGAAAATCCACCCCATCGCGAGACACACCCACAACCCATAGGCCAAACTCTACCCCGTCGCGAGACACACCCACAACCCATAGGCCAAACTCTACCCCATCGCGAGACACACCCACAACCCATAGGCCAAACTCTACCCCATCGCGAGACACACTCACAACCCATAGGCCAAACCCTCACCTCGAAACCCCAGTCCACAATCCAAGCGGGGAAATATGTGGCAAATATTCAACCCACCAGTGATATGAGGAGATATAGTACCGGTCACGTTGGCTCACAATATTCTGAAACTTCTACTACCGGCACTTACACCTCCCGGGAAGATTGGACCTACGCGAAATATAGTTCAAATACAAGAAATACCGAGATAAGAACATCTGCTACCGAGGGACACAATCCCGTAGTACGAAACTCCGAGGACACAAATGCCGGGTACACAAGAGCATCAAGTCAATCTATCGAGAAACTTTGCTCCGTGGTGCGAAATGTCGAGGCACCAAAGAACTTAAAGGAACTTTATTCGAAGGGACCAAATTCGAAGGGACTAAACTCGAAGGAACCTAATTCGGAGGAACTAAATTCGAAGGAACCTATTTCGAAAGAACCTATTTGGAAGGAACCTATTTCGAGGGAACCTTATTCAGGGGAAACGAATTCGAAGGAACCTGTTTCAAGGGAACCTTATTCGGGGGGACCAAATTCGAAGGAACCTAATTCGAAGGGACTAAATGCCGGTGATGAAGAATTCGACTTTGTTAGCTATGAAAGTTGCGGACATTATTGAACAGCGAAAGGCGCAACGGAGAAAAAAGCGTCGTAGTTCACCAACCGTTGTGGTCATATCAGATTCGGAAGACGAAGGATTGAAGATATCTTCACCGCTTTCCAGCGACGAAAATGGAGATGTTTTCACAGCTGCCAGTCCGGTTTACAGAATAGATGGAGGTAGCGACGATTTTCTACGGGAGAATGTGGATTTAAATCCATCTCGTAATAGCGATGGTGAAAGTGCCTGTGTTATTACCGGGGTTAAAGCACCCGGGGAACAGTCCGTTCGGTTAGAAAGCGAAAAACTCGGCCGTAAGACGATTGATGAAACTGGGCCGAGTAGGGTCAGAAGAGATTCCTATGATTTCAACAATAATACGAATGATAGTCAAGAGGTGACCACGTCGAACTACAAGCAGAATGGCTTGGGAACGAACCGCGAGCATGGGGGGAATGGGCTGAGCACGAGTTATCGGTCTGTTCTATACGAGCGGGAAAGTGCGGGACATTCAGGTACACAGAGTGCCATCATGAGTGAGCAGTTGTTGTCGGATGAGAGCAGGGGACTTAAGAGGTGTCTTGATGATAAATCGGAGTATTTTGTCGCGGGATCCGCAGAAATCGCTGGGAATTCTCTCCAGGATGCTGCGAGAAAAATTCGCAGAATGTTGTCAAATGTTTCCAAGAACCACGCCAATGATGGAAGCCTGAGTTTCGATCAGAGAATGGACATTTCTTCCAGTCGCCAGTCCTTCCCGGAAAGGAGCGGTTCTGTAAACTCTGGAGAATACCAAAAGCCGACGAGAAACTACGAAGGCATGCCGAAGTTGATACGATCTCTTTCGGAATATGATCGGACGGAAAGCAGGCCGGAATTCAAAAGTGAACGATCTAGGAGTCTTACCTATGAACCGAGATATTCGTCACACGGATTAAAAAACCGAGAGAATTGCATTACCAAGAACGAATTTGTTGAAAAATTTAAATCGAGTATTCAAGACTGCCTGGATGACAGCAAGCCTTTGAAGACAATGCCACGTGACGAACTTTTATGTCGCAAATATGACACCGAGTTCACTGAGAAGCCTGGAACCGACAGCAACCAGACCGTCGTGAAACTACCTAAAGTTGGTCCAAAACCGACCGGAATCGTGGTCGGTGTGAAGAAGTCACCGGAGGTCAAGCAACCGCTGAAACAGGAGTCTTTGGGCTCGAAAAGTGAATTGAAAAATTTGCTAAAACCTCAGGTCATTGGTTTGGACAACGAATTGAAGCAACTGCTGCAATGCGGGAGTGCGGGCTCAGAAAAACCTGCAAAGGACTCTGGTATAAAATACATCGTCATACCCGAAGAAGATGATGTAATACACAAGACGGAGAGTCCCGAGCTCGGCGATGATTTGAATGTACTTCATTTTAGCGTTGTCAAAAAGGATGCAACACCCAAGGGAGCAAAGTCCGAAGCTCACGTGAACAGCATAGTCGGCTCACGTGATAAGAAACCTGTATCGCAGCAGTGGGAGACTTATTCGCTGAAACTTGAGCAGAGTAACGCGACAAAGGATAGTTGTAGTGAAAATTCAACTGTCTCTCCTGACATCAGGCGAAATTCCTGGAAAGAATTAGAGACGGGATTTTTGGCCGAGGAAAACCGAGAATCCGGCGACGAAAATCGAAAGCGAAAAAGCTCGGGTCAGAAATCGTACAAGTTCCATGATTCTACGAAACTTGTTTCGGAGCAGTACAAACGTCGGAAATTGTCGGAAGAAGGCGGAATTCAAGATGGCGATTTCACTACTGATGACGTGCCCAAAACGACAACACAGACATCGATATGTCCGCCTAAGGATCTTAATAACTTGCTTCTCGTCACAAAAGACAGTAATTCGCGTATCATAATAACAACAGCAAGATCCTAACTCCCCAGTGTTAAGTCCCTCGGAGAAAACCCCCACGATATTCACCCTCGGTGAGAAAACCAAGCCCAACTCAACCTGGGAAGAAAAAACCCTCGACAAAAATGGCCAGGAATGACCCCCAGCTCCACGAGATTCAACCCCTGGAGATTGCGCGCTCCACGTCACCGGGGAAAGAGACGCAGCAGAAAGAAGAACTTTCTTTAGCTGAATGGACAGAAATTTTACAAGGGCGAATTGCCCAAGTCAAGGAAAGTATCGAGGAAGAAAAGACGCCTTGGAAGACAAAGAACAAGAAAAAGTTTTGGAGAAACTCGAAAATCATTATGCTTGGATAATGGGACCAGATGTCGACGAAGCGTTCTTCGTTTCTCGGAAATTACAGTTTTTTCAAACGATGCGGAAACAGTACGAGTTGATGAATAAAGTTAAAACGCAAAGACAGTCGATGAAGACTTCAGACAGCACCCCACAAGTTGAGGAAGATACGGAAAAATCAAAAGAGAAAGCCGCCAAACAAGTTGAGGTGACAAAAGAAGCGGCCAAACGTGTGACAAAAAAGACGAAAGGCATTAAGAAAATGGTTAAATGTCGGCCGAAAAGGTGAGAATGTTTTGCAATGATAGTTGATGAAACTCTCATGTAAACTCTCGCTTGTCAACTCTCATGCAACTCTTGTTCTCGTTCGATCAAGTAATGATAGTTGATGAAACTCTCATGTAAACTCTCGCTTGTCAACTCTCATGCAACTCTTGTTCTCGTTTGATCAAGCAATGATAGTTGATGAAACTCTCATGTAAACTCTCACTTGTCAACTCTCATGCAACTCTTGTTCTCGTTTGATCAAGCAATGATAGTTGATGAAACTCTCATGTAAACTCTCACTTGTCAACTCTCATGCAACTCTTGTTTCGTTTGATCAAGCAATGATAGTTGATGAAACTCTCATGTAAACCCTCACTTGTCAACTCTCATGCAACTCTAGTTCTCGTTTGATCAAGCAATGATAGTTGATGAAACTCTCATGTAAACCCTCACTTGTCAACTCTCATGCAACTCTTGTTCTTGTTTTAATGCTTTAATCAGGCAATGATAGTTGATGTATCTTTTCTTATCATTTTCACGGTCAAATTTACCTTTATCTAACGTATATCTCATATTTTTTTAGTGTGAAAAATACTGGAGGCAACCTTATGAAAAAAATAAGAAAGGCAGTCCTGTTATAATAAACTATGGCGCTCTATATTATATTATGTGAGTCAATTTGAACTATTACGATTTTCCCTTCGGGCAGTACCCCTGAGATTTGTATATATTTTTTCATTTTATATGAGCAAATTCCCTTCTCCCAAGATATTATTTATGTCGTTTCTTTTATTATATATTACTTATATCGTTTCTTTCTTTTATTAAAACTTCAAAATACGAAATGCTAAATCTACCCTCTTGTTAACTACAGATATGAATTTGCATTTATTTAACACAACTAACTGCAAAGAATAGTTTTATTTAGCAAAATAAACCCTTCACCAGAATGCTTTTTCGTCTCCGATCTTGATAGTATTGTTTTTCATCATGTTTTTAATGTTTTTAACCGCCGCTTTACATAAAAGTTTGAAATTTACACATTTTAAAAATCCATACCTTCAAAATTTGCCTTTAGCTTTCCTAAATTTCTTTCTAACCACGCGGCAACTTCTGGACTTTCCCGAAAGAACTGCTTTGAATTTTTCGCCATTTTGAATGGAGCTTTTTGAAGTAAATGGCGGCAAACGCGAAAGTCTGATGTTACACGAAATTTGATTGGCTCCACAAAAGTCATTGAGCCAATCAAACTTCGTGTAACATCGGACCTCCCGCGTTTGACGTCATCATGAAAAGGTCTATTTAGTGGATCCTATTTACGTATACCTCTCCTTCACTAGATTCCGCCCCCCGGGATGAAATCTGTTTGACAATCCGCCCCCGGGATAAATTATTTTGCAGTAGTGTTCCTGGGGTCGCCCGGGGGGGAGTTCGAATTGACTCATGCATAAAACCATTTCATTGAAGTTTACAGAGGAAAACAATATATATAAAGTTCACAAAAATTATTGATAATTTGTTTTGTTGAATATTAGTTCTGTTCGTGAATATTATTTAATGGTGAATTCATCCAAGAATATTGTACATAATATGAAAACTATTTAAATAGTTGAAAAATATTTGATATTTGTAAATAAATGCATTCTATTTTTTTGAGTTTGATGAATAAATCATTGATCAAATCTGTTCACACCATTCTTGTTTGCATTTCCAAATAACTGTGTTAGTTTCAAAAGCTTTCAAATTGATAATGATTTCCAGAATTTGCGAAGGTCAGTCAAAACCAAGACTAGTCCAGATATATTAAGAAGATCAGTGGTTTAATCTATGACGATGGTGCCCTGTAAATATGCTTGCCCCCCTAATGTATGGATGTTGGCAACCCCCTGCCCTTAGAGTTCATAGTCAGACTTATATGCTTCAGCCAAGACCTTCAGTTTCTCTCTACTGTCTTCAATATCTGCCTGTTCAGTTCCTGCTTTTAAAAACCCTGAATAGTTCATTCCGTCAAACTTGTTTGTGTCTTTGTACAGCCTTTCCAAAGGCCTTGAGATTTCTTCACAATTTACAAGACTAGCCATTGCTGATGTAGAACTAACTTTGACCTCTTCTGGTCGGTTATAATCTTCGATAATGCAACCAATTTGAGTAACAGAGGGTTTAAAAATGTCTGGAAATTGTAGGGTGAACTTACAAGGGGTCTGAACGACATAACTTGGGCAAATATGTCCATGGTTGGTTTTGTACTGAAGCATTGCAGATAACCTTCGTGAAACGAGATTGTATTCCTCCAGTTTTAGCAAATGGGTTGGTATTCCACGGACTACAGTGGTTTGTGCAAGAATGCTTTCAGGTCGGCTTGTATCTGGTGTCAGGGAGATGTTAAAATCCATCGGTCCATTTAGTATGTCGTTTACAGAGCCTGTGCTGCTCAGAGGAATCGGTAAGCCCATAGTCAATGCAGAAATCTTTCTACCAGCCACTGAGATGGGTCCAATTAAAGTGCTGATGTCTGTAGCCTGGTCATTTGAAAGTCGAAATGGTAATGTCGCTGTGTCTATCGCTGAGGCAAGGATCGCACTTGTTTGGTATGTGGAACTAGCCTAAAAATACCATGGTTAGTCATATTGTGAATTGGTTTTTGACCTATAAACAGTACTCTTCCACTGATGACTAAAATCATCTGACATTAGACAGAGTAAAATACTATTTAGGTCACATCTGGGTGCATTGCAAGCTAATGGTTAACAAGAGACACTGACAGACAGTTTTGTTAACTTATTAACTGACAGTACTCTTCCACTGATGGGTAAAATCATCTGACATTAGACAGAGTAAAATACTAAAGTAGGCCACATCTGGGTGCATTGTAAGCTAATGGGTTAACAAAAGACACTTAACTCATTAAATAAACTCTCATAGTTTGTAATTAAAAATATTTTACCTTATAATTGATGTATGGGAATTCAACTGGTTCCCTTCTCAATCCATAACTACTCCTCAAGGACAGTGGTATCACCTGACAATCTGACTCAATATACTTTCCAAAACTTAGCATAGTATTTAACATAGTCTTTTCAACAGTCTGTTTACCATCATCACCAAGAATTCCAGGCATCATTGCAAAACACAAAGAAAACTTTTTTGAATAATCGTCCGCTAAATCTTGAAGTATACTCGATGAGAGGCCAGCAAAACCATCATGAATATCTGTGAAGACCTGTTGGTTGGAAATTTAAAGATGGTCAGTGGAAGAGTACAGTACGTCAGTTAATAAGTTAACAAAACTATCTGTCAGTGTCTCTTGTTAACCCATTAGCTTGCAATGCACCCAGATGTGACCTGCTTTAGTATTTTACTCTGTCTAATGTCAGATGATTTTACTCATCAGTGGAAGAGTACTGTCAGTTAAAAAGTTAACAAAACTATCTGTCAGTGTCTCTTGTTAACCCATTAGCTTGCAATGCACCCAGATGTGACCTACTTTAGTATTTTACTCTGTCTAATGTCAAATGATTTTACTCATCAGTGGAAGAGTACTGTAAAAAACAGACCTGAAAGCCTTGTAACCTATCGCACTCCTCTGAAAAAAAGTGCAGCCTGTCCTCGAACTCGTTGTAAAACTTTCCAGACTTAAAGAGCATCTCTCCACAGCCAAAATGATCAAATCCTTCAGACATCTGATTATGCAGAAGGTCAACGACTTGCGAAGATTTATCGTGGAAACAAGACAACGTGAAATCTGTCCAAAATAAACCAACTTCATCGGCTGTATTTGAACCGCTATTTTTACTTCCTCTGTCGTATTTCTCCACATTTCCATCCCAAAAAATACCATCATCAGTATCGTCTGTTGCCGTTTCATCTGCGCTAGGAAAGTTTCTAACGTTTTCTTTCAAGTCAAATGATACAACACGAGGCTTATATGAGCTTCGACCAGTTTCAAAATTCAACCCGTGTCTGTACAAAATATCCTGCGAGAGTTCATTAAAAGAGTTCTTTTTAGCAGAGGCCTCTTTGAACAAGCTCTCTTGTAAATTCCAGTAGTGTCCGCCGACAAAATTGCTGTAATTTCCAACTTGAAAAGTGATAACTTCTCTCTCTTTAGGAGAAGCTAAATCCAGACTTTCTCCTTGATCCGCCATTTCTGAATTGACCTCACGAAACAGATTCCGTAATCCTAAATACACGAGTTTATTCCTTGAGATTAGGTTCGGATTAGGGCTTAGATTAGGTTTGTGGATGATTAGTCACACCCCTAATCCTAAATGTAACCATAAAATAAAAAATTGAGAATTCTGTGATTGCTCAGATTCTCAGAAGTCGCAATCAGAACCAATCAGAACAAAACCTGAATTAATCCTAGCTTAATCTCATGGATTAAATTCGTGGATTAGGATTTGCTGAGCATGGATTATTATTGCCAGATTTTTCAACTGAGCTTTATATATGCTGTACTGTCAAACTCAAACATAAAATTTGTTCCAATTTTAATCATTAGAGGGGTGGTGAAAACTGAAACATTGTATTAAAGAAATCATGAACAGTATTTCTGAAGAATGCAATGACCTAAAGAAAAAATATGATATATGTTTCAATACTTGGTACACAGAAAACTTCCTTCGTGGCGACACTAAATCAGAACCATGTGAAAAATTGTTCAAGTCGTATCGGGCCTGTGTCTTGGTAAGCTCAGATTAACACAAAGATTTATAAAACACTAAAGTAGGTCACATCTGGGTGCATTGCAAGCTAATGGGTTAACAAAAGACACTGACAGATGTTTTGTTAACTTATTAACTGACAGTACTCTTCCACTGATGAGTAAAATCATCTGGCATTAGACAGAGTAAAATACTAAAGTAGGTCACATCTGGGTGCATTGCAAGCTAATGGGTTAACAAAAGACACTGACAGATGTTTTGTTAACTTATTAACTGACAGTACTCTTCCACTGATGAGTAAAATCATCTGGCATTAGACAGAGTAAAATACTAAAGTAGGTCACATCTGGGTGCATTGCAAGCTAATGGGTTAACAAAAGACACTGACAGATGTTTTGTTAACTTATTAACTGACAGTACTCTTTCACTGATGAGTAAAATCATCTCACATTAGACAGAGTAAAATACTAAAGTAGGTCACATCTGGGTGCATTGCAAGCTAATGGGTTAACAAGAGACACTGACAGATAGTTTTGTTAACTTATTAACTGACAGTACTCTTCACTGATGAGTAAAATCATCTGGCATTAGACAGAGTAAAATACTAAAATAGGTCATATCTGGGTGCATTGCAAGCTAATGAGTTAACAAGAGACACTGACAGATAGTTTTGTTAACTTATTAACTGACAGTACTCTTCCACTGATGAGTAAAATCATCTGGCATTAGACAGAGTAAAATACTAAAATAGGTCATATCTGGGTGCATTGCAAGCTAATGAGTTAACAAAAGATATAATTTTGATAGATTTCCTATTGTTTGTTTTGTAGAAGGCCTTGAATGATAAAAATATCAGTCTAGAAGAGGTTGAAAAGGACATTTTAGGAACACACAATGAGAAGAAGGCACCAGGCGATGATCAGACGAATGAGAGCTGACAGGAACTGTGGGGTGCTTCATCATGAGATTGGTCAATAATAGACAGTGAAAAAATGAAGAAACATAACTTAATGTCTTAATAGATTACATTCAGATGCATTGCAAGCTAATGGGTTAACAAGAGACACTGACAGATAGTTTTGTTAACTCATTAACTGACAGTACTCTTTCACTGAAGAGTAAAATCATCTGACATTAGACAGAGTAGAATACTAAAGTAGGCCACATCTGGGTGCATTGCAAGCTAATGGGTTAACAAGAGACACTGACAGATAGTTTTGTTAACTTATTAACTGACAATACTCTTCCACTGATGAGTAAAATCATCTGACATTAGACCGAGTAAAATACTAAAGTATGTCACATCTGGGTGCATTGCAAGCTAATGGGTTAACAAGAGACACTGACAGATAGTTTTGTTAACTATTAACTGAGAAAATTGTTATAATGTTGGAAATATGAGAGAGTACATATTTATCAGGAAATTGTATTGATGTAGGCATTGGTTATGTCTGACTTGAGCAATGGACTGCAGAAAATGACTTAGTAAACATTAGACATATTTATGTTTGTACATAATCTCAACTGATAAAACATTCACAATATTCTAAATACTCTTCATTCAATGATATTGCCACAGAAGAAACCAGAAATAATAAAATACATTTATTATTATCAAAATACTGTAGT